ATAATTATAAATAAATAAATATATTTTTTATAACATTTTCTTATAAAAACTATTATTTATTAAATAAAAATTGAATATATATTTATATTTTTAAAAGTATTTTTTTAATAAAATATTAAGAAGATTCGCAAAAAAGATAAAATAACAGGATATAACATTTGAAATTTGAAATGTACTATCTATTAACAATTAGAAATATATTAAAAAAGGGTTGTTAACATTCCGAATGCATAGACCCTGGCAAAATTTTGAGCTGATTGAGTAAAAAAGTAGAGTGTTGAAGGTTGTGCTTTTACACTTATGTTGGGTATCAACTGAAAGGGATGCATGCATCGAATATTTGGAATTTTTGGCACCAAAACAGTAAAACGAGCCTAAAGGTCACGCGGCCAGCTATTGTACATTGTTTCTTTCATCATTTATAATCGTCCAAGTTTCTTCCGACGATAGAACCTTTATTCTTTGGCACTAATGTACTATTTCATGGGTATGCAAAGTTACACCCCCAAAATCACTTGTTATAGAATGTTTTTAGTCATTTTGATATTTAAGTCCCTTTCATGTTTTATAATGGGAGTCCCGATTCATCATAAAACAAATTCATATCAATCTAACTTGTTGAGATTTCAAGTGAGGAAGAAAGTATAAATATTATGTTTAATGCTAATAAAATGAGCATATTAGTTTATTTATCTTTGTGTGAATAGATAAGTTAGTGTTGTGTTGTTCTAATTTAATGTATGGTATTAAATTTCAGTATACTGCTTATATTACGTATAAAGGCTTGTTTAATGATCCAAAAAAAGAATAAAGAACGATAAAATAAGACATCACAATTATTAAGTATTTAGGGTACGCAAAAAAAATTAATAAACAATAAAATTATTAATGTAGATGTATTGTATAAAATCATGAACGGTTTGTATTGATAAAAGGAAACCTGATAAACAAGTATATCATGTAATCTTTGTTAATTATTATAGTTGTGTTCCTAAGTAAATAATCCCATACTTTCCTTCCTGCGTATTCAAGACAAATTATTCTTTAATGTTATTATTATTTTTAAATATCGAAACATCAACTGCTATTCATACGATCGAAAAATGGAAGAGCACTTGCCTCTCTCAGTTCTTTACTGGGGAATGAACTGCAACTTCAATTTCATTCTTTAAAAATACGATTATGACCCATTTGAACAAGATATTATGAACACTAAAAAAGATTTGAGCATTTGAGTTAGCGTTTATGAGGGAGAGGGAGAGTAAATCTTCAGCACATGTCCTTCAATAATGCCAAAATGTGACCCAAGTAGTAGAAAAAATAAGGATCTATAGATAAATAATTAAAACCCATTTTTACTGTTTGATTTCTTTCACTGCTGGTGGTCAAATAACATATTTTGACCACCATAAAAGCAACAGATCAAATTATGTCACACTCTTTATAGTAAATGTTTACAATTGTATTAGTACCAAAAAGTCATTATTGAAAGCGATAGTTAACCTAAACCTTATGTAATGCAACCAATTCCTAGTGAGATTGTTTTGGATGTTTCTTCTGATGAGAGAACCTTCTTGGCATCAAAGTTTCTCCCGCAAAACGTATAGCTGTCATCATTCATCAACAACACCCAAAGTAAAATTCATATACCAAATTAGCTATTTAGCTTACCAATGGAATCAATATTGTGCTTGAAAAGTGGGGGTGGATAGTACCATCAATCTCTCTCTCTCTATATATATATATTTGTATTGGAAAAGGTTGAATTAAAGATGAGTCTTTTCAAAAAAAAGTTTCGAAAACTATATATGGCATTTGCACCCGTACGTCGAATGGGATCATATTTCATATACAATTCAATTTATTGTTTAAAGGGCAAGTTAAGTTGAAGAATGAATCCCCTCCCAACAAGCAAGCTACCTGCACTTTATACAAAAACGGGTAACTAAGAAGACGTGTTAATTAATTAAGAAAAATTGCATTTTAATTGGGTATAAGCCAAACACAAATCCTTAAACGTGGTATACATGATTTCAACCTTAAATCGACTACTTGCCAGAATAAGTGGAAGTTTCGTTTTCAGTTGTTAGCTTGAAAAGGTATAACGTTGGGGTTTTCCATTGGGCACATGCAGCTATTTTGGTTGGCACACTTCGACTCAAAGGTGAGTAAACAGGCGAGAACCATTCTAAGTGCTTCAATTTCTCTTCCTCCGTCCAGAAGAGACAAAAGTGATCACAAGATAAGGAGGGTTCTAAAGTTCGCAGCGTTTTTCATGTGCTAAAATAAAGTGCTTTGAATTGTAAAGGAAAAGTTCTAATCCGAGACATAATTCGGGACTGTCGAAATTAACAAGAAATGAAACATGTACGATAGTGAAAAGACAGTGAAAAGCTTTGAGAATGGATTTGCAATTTTGCATCACAAAAACATTAATTAACTTTGCCTGTGTTCGGCTGCTTCATGCCGGCTTTCCGTCCAATTAGCACTTTACGGCTCCTTGTAATTAATGCACACTGTTTCATTGATCATAGTGGGAGGGTCATTTAATGGACGGAAATCACTTCTTGTCTCTTTTTTTCACATAAATTTTACAGCAGAAAAAAATTTCACTTCTGATTTTTTTAGTTTTATTTTGAGTTTATTAAACCTTTTTAATTTTTAAATAAGTAAATTATTATTATTTATTAATCTAACCATTGATTCTCCCAAGAATACTATAAAACGGATGCAGTTTAATCCGTAAATTTCCCAATTCTTATTATTCTTTGTAGTTTCCAATTTTTCAGGCACATACAGTTCTGTACAAATCCGTGACGCTTTTAGTCAATTTTCCAATTTTACATACGAAAGGAAAAACGAAACAATGTTTGGCAATTTGGCTGTATCTTGTATTTAACGTTATTTTATACTAAATTTGAAACACGTCGTGGTGGGGATTATATATATCTTCAGAGAACCGTATTCAAGAGTAACATGGATAGAACCACCCTTAAATATAATAATATACATGTTTTTAATACCATTTTTAATTAATATTTATTGTACCTATTTGTTAATATAAAAGTTTAAATTTAATTAAAAATATTTTTAATATTGTACCTGTCCTAATCAAATGCACACTATAATTTTTTTATGCCCAATGTGACTTCATCTTCCACATGGCCAATTCAGTGGAGTTTTATCTCAATTGTCTGTCTTGTCTATCCCTTTTTTTTTTTCTGGAAAAATATCATGCACGCTGGCCAACTTTTCTAAAGGGTTTATTATAATGCTTATAAATTTGAGAGCACGTTAAATATTCTGTTTAAATTAATAATTATAATTTTTTTAATATTTTAAAATTAAAAGATATTTACATCTTTTAAAAAAATTAATAAATCTATTATCTATTAATATAGAATTAATAAAATATCAGAGATTTTTTTTCAAAACATGCTTCTTCTGTCTGGCTGTTTTAATAAAGCTCAGAACATTTTTTTTTATAAAAATAGTTTATATATATATATATATATATATATATATATATATTAAATCACTTCCCTACGCAATCAGTGGAGTATTATTTCCTGAAGCAGATTTCTCACAGGTGTAACAAAAAAAATATAATCTAATGACTTGTGAAATCAAAATATATATCATCAAGATAAGAGTATAAGACTGCCACTACGTCTCTGCAGGGTCTGCAGGCATTTGGATAATCTAAAGAAGCAAGAGTTCGATGTTTTTGAAAATCACATGGCCTCTGTTTTAAAAATTTTGCTTCCTGAAATAAAAATCGAAGTTGTTAAAATCACTCGAACGTGGAGAAGATGGCCAAGTTTTTATCACTTTGATCGAACCATTTTCTTCATCACGTATGAAATAAATTATTGTTTTAGATATTTACCATTTTCTATACAAATTAAGAAAAATAAATATAAATAAAGTAATAATTCTTTAATTACTGTAAAAATGAAGGGTGAAATAGGAAAAACAAGAGAGTAAACAATATATTAAAATTTTATTTAGATAAACTAAAATAAAAGACATTTTTTCTCTGTATCTTTAAGTGGGTAAAAAAATTAATAAAAAAAATATCAAAATAATCATAAAAAATTTAGATTAATATAAAATATTTATTATTATAATATTTTTCTAATATATAATTAAATAATGATTGCATGTCGATTAGTATTAACCTTTAATGAATAATTAATTTCCTCATTTTTGAAATATAGATTTTGTCCAAGAATGTTGAATCTGTGATTTCTGTGATGTCTGGAATAAGTTGATCCTTATGGCATGTTGGAGAGATTCTTGAGTGGTAGACTAACAAGTTGAATTAATCTTAATACAAAGAATTTGTCTAACTGATAACTTGAGTATTGTTTTTGGTGTTACTGAACTGATTGAATGATAGAAACACTTTCATTTTGCAAATTAGTTTCGTTGACCAAGTTTTGAATTCTAAGATTATGAATTTTGTAAATATGAATTTATCTAATCCTCTATCTCCTTTCAATGTTCTATCAAGGTCCAATGTATCTAAATTATTGTCAGTTGGAGACTTGTTTAATGTCGATAGTTCAGTTCAAATTTCTGCATGAATGGTAGAATATTAAGTATTTTGATTAAAGAATTAAAATTAGAAATATTTATTAAAAATAAAATTTATATTATTTATTTAATTTTAATTAGTTAAATTTTACAATAAATTTTAATTATTATAACACAATGTGTATAAAAGAATGAAATGTTAGAAGAATGTATGGGGGGAGGGAAAGAGAGAAAGGAAGGAAGCGAAAGGGAGGAGATGGGGCCCACCTTTTTTGAGTGCCGACTATTAAACGGGAGAATGCCCCTCGTAATTCTCAGAACAAAGGAGGGGCATTATCGGCATTCCGACCACTTGACCTGAATTATCCCATAAACTGAGTGGCAAAAGCGTCAATTCAACGATACATATATTTTTTGGACAAAGGCCTATATATATTTATTGGATCCAAGGAAGAATCTTCACTCCTCACTCAATCTTTCATTCACTCTTCACTCTTGAGTAACTCACTGCACTGCACCAAAGTGCCATGTCACACAAACATCTCCTTTTCTCTCTGTTCTAATTTCTACCAACTCTGTTACACAACAGTCTTCTTCTCTCTCCCTCCCTCTCTCTCTCTCTCTCTCTGCTGTTCCAACTTGCATTGAAGTCAGCGAATCCACCTCAACCTTCCCTCAGATCGAACCCCTCCTGTACCAACACCTTCATTACTTTCATCCCCAATAGAGCAAGATTCTCCCAGGTAATATTCAATTTTGGTTTCACAAAAAAAATAAAAATCATTTTTTTACTCTGTTTGTTTCTGGGTTTTGTTCGTGAGTCCCGGTTAGTTGTTGTTGTCCGAGCCAACCCACATGAATTTTCTTTTATTTTAATTGCTGTTTTTGCGAGAATTTAACGACTTTGATTTCGTTGACTTTTAAAAAGTTTATTTTGAATCTTATTTCCCAACAACTGGTGAATTTTTTTGGCTTGAATTCTGGGTTCTTAGTTGTCATCGTGCTCCAGCTATCTCTTCCCAAACCAATTCGGTTTGTTATTTGTTCAAAAACTCATCTTTTTGGGACTACTTTCTGTTCCTTTTCCCCTCGTCGACTACTACTTTTTGCTTCCATTGACTTACATTCGGTGCTTTTTTTTTACAGTTCGATAGTAACTTAAATCAACCTTCGAATTTAATTCTTTACTTTTTTTTTAACCTTTGTGTCGAAATTCCTCTCCCGATGAGTATTTTGCTTCGCATATGAATTTGATTTGGTTTCTGAAGAATTTTCATGTTGGAGACTGCGAGATTCTGTTCTATCGAAAAGCTGAGTTGACCTTCGGGACTGTCGCCACAGTAAACGGAAAACCAAACATTGAGGCTTGGATTTTTTATTGCAATCTCTCTCTCTCTCTCTCGTTTTTTCCCCTTTGTTTCGTCACTTTCTGATTTGGTTACTTTTCTTCTTCTCTTTCTCTAACCACTGTTACTGTATGTAATTTTGAAAGTTCCCCTTTGTTTTGGTGTTTCTAATGGTTCAATGTACAATTGTACATGTAGCATGCGCATTTGTTCTTTCTGGCACAGATGAAAATGGAACTCTGCGTTTTCTTTATTCGTCTGGGACCGCTCCCCAAAATAAGAATGGGGCGAAAAATACACACCAAAAAAAGGAAATCTATTGGATAAATATTTCGTTTGGCTTTATCCAACCTTTTCTACCATTATGCATTGTACGAATAATAATAATAATAATATTGTTTGTCCCTTTTTTTAACTTTACCACTCTGTCTGAATCGACTATTCCCCCATCTCCCTTTCAAATTGGAGATTACAAGGTTTTTATAAAAAAAAATATATAACATTTACTATTAGGAATGTACTTTATTATAATTTTTAATAAATTTTATTTATTTATTTATTCCTGAACCCTTTATGGCAATTGTGATGCTTTGAAATTTTGGAACAACTTTTTAATGAGACAAGAAATAAGAAATAACTTACTACTGGGCCTCTGTTTGTCCTGTTCTTATGATAACTCCAGTTGGAGGGCCGTGAGGATGTTGGAGAAAGTGGAGGAGTTTAACATGGACAAAGTTATACAAGAGTTTGAGACACTGACAAAGGATGCGGAAAGGGTTCAGAAGGAAACGCTCAAAAGGATTTTGGAGGATAACGCATCAGCTGAATATTTGCAGAATTTGGGTCTCAATGGAAGAACTGACCCCGAGAGTTTCAAGGCCTGTGTTCCTCTGGTTACCCACCAAGAATTGGAGCCTTATATCTATAGAATTATTGATGGCGATGCTTCTCCTATTCTCACTGGAAAACCCATCACCACCATGTCTTTAAGGTGTTTTATTTTCTCTTGTTTTTATTCTTTTTTTTCACCTTAGCAATTTAGTTTAAACTATTATACTTGGAAAGTTTTTGAGTATCAGAATTATTTTCTTGCAGTTCTGGCACTACCCAGGGGAAGCCAAAATACGTACCATGGAATGATGAATTGTTTGAAACCACAATGCAGATATATCAGACCTCTTTTGCCTTTAGAAACAAGTATTTCACTTCATTTCTTAACTTTCTTTTTTAATTTTTTAAAGAATAAATGCTTTTTTGCTATTTGGACTTGGGATTCTGACACAATTCCGTTCCTGCAGAGAGTTTCCTATCACAAACGGTAAGGCTTTAAGCTTCATATACGGTAGCAAACAGTTCAAAACAAAAGGGGGTCTGGCAGCTAGAACTGCTACAAGCAATGTGTTCCGCAGTGCAGGTTACAAATGTGGAATGAGGGCACTTCAATCCCAATGCTGCAGCCCTGATGAAGTGATATTTGGTCCTGATTTTTTCCAATCATTATATTGCCATCTATTGTGTGGACTGATTTTCCGTGAGGAAGTTCAGTTTGTGTCTTCCACATTTGCACATAGCATTGTCCATGCTTTTAGAACCTTTGAAGAAGTGTGGGAGGATCTGTGTACTGATATCAGAGAAGGGGTTCTCAATAACAATGTCACGGTTCCATCCATTCGAATGGCTATGTCTAAGCTGCTCAAACCAAACCCAGAATTAGCCAACCTGATCCACAATAAATGTGTGGGATTGAGCAACTGGTATGGGTTGATACCAGAGCTTTTTCCCAATGCTAAGTATATTTATGGCATCATGACTGGGTCGATGGAGCCTTATTTGAAAAAGTTGAGGCACTATGCTGGGGAGTTGCCTTTGTTGACTGCTGACTATGGATCTTCTGAAGGATGGATTGCAGCAAATGTGAACCCAACACTCCCTCCTGAATCTGCCACTTATGCTGTGCTTCCTCACATCGGTTACTTTGAATTCATTCCTCTCACAGACCTTGAGAATGCCAAGGGAGATTTCCTCTCTATTGATCCTCAGCCAGTGGGCCTCACTGAAGTCAAGGTTGATCAAGAGTATGAAATTGTTATGACCAATCCAGCAGGTACACCAATTATTATCTTGTATATTTTATTTTATTTTATTTTTCTCCTTGGCATTAGTGAGTCAGGACTAAGGAGTAAGGACCACAGAAATATGATGCTCTAACACATCAATTGTTTGACCTTTTCAGTCTAGAAGGAAGTAAAATGTTTGTTGTACATACTAAGATGTCTTACATACCTCACATGTGCCTTTTCATTGGCGAAATAATAAGTAGCTATTAACATATGAAGCCAACAAATTTTACATACCATGTGGGTATGTAAAATTTTGTATATGCTGTTAACATTACTATGAAATTCACACACGTGCTTATAAATATAGCTCCCTAGCCTAGTGGTGCATATGGTTTGGCTTTATGCTCGATGGGGAGGGTTTGGTCCATTCTCATATGCATCTCCCCTCCTTTTTTGGTCATATGCACAAGACCTAAGCACTTTGTTGTTTTCTTTTATTATTTTTATGAGATGGGGACGAAAGAAATGAAGTGGGTGCTTTGTATGCTTGGTGATCATGGGACCAAGTTGGAGAAATTTCTTCCCACTTATTGGCGAAGTTACATCACATACCTAATCAGAATAAAATATTTAACATGTAGCAATAACATAATCTTGCAAGTTGCAAGTTAGACCTATTCTTTAGTTTTGGCAACCAATCTTGGATTTACAAGTGCTTATTTCATGGAATTAGATTGTATCTTGAACTTATCTGTCACTGTATGGCCGTTGTTAATTTCGGCTGCATTGTCGTACTCTTAAACGTAATTAGGATTAATAAATAATACTGATTCTTTTTTAACTTCGATTGCATTCCTTTACTTCTCTATTAAGTCGAAATATACATTATCCTGAAAACGTAGTAAGTATTTTATACAGAAATATTGTCCATATACCCTACGCATATGTCAAATTCATGATTCGTGAAACTTTTCTTGTGTTTATTTATATCATAGGTTTATATAGACATATAAAAGATTTTTAGCTGAGTCTAATAGATGAACGTGGAAGTATAATTGAAAGTGAATTTGCACGATACTTTTAAATAAGCTTCTTTCTTATTAAACAGAAGTGAACATTAATCTTATAAAGTTGTGGGCTAAATTGCAGGTTTATACCGTTATAGGCTAGGGGATGTGGTGAAGGTTATGGGATTCAACAATTCAACTCCAGAACTAAAGTTTATTCGGCGAAGCAGTCTTCTACTGAACATTAACATTGACAAGAACACAGAGAAGGATCTACAGATAGCTGTGGAAGAAGCAGCGAAATTGTTAGCAGAGGAGAAAATGGAAGTGGTTGATTTCACTAGCCATGTTGATATATCAAAAGAACCAGGGCACTATGTCATATTCTGGGAGCTAAGTGGGGAAGCAAGTGAAGAAGTACTTGGAGAATGCTGCAATTGTTTGGACAAGTCTTTTGTTGATGCAGGCTACACCAGTTCTCGCAAAGTCAACTGCATTGGGGCCCTTGAACTCCGAGTTGTAAGGAGGGGAACATTCCAGAAGATTCTTGATCATTACCTAGGACTAGGAACCGCTGTTAGTCAGTACAAGACACCAAGATGTGTAGGTCCTACAAACATCAAAGTGTTGCAAATCTTGAGTGAAAATGTTGTGAAGAACTATCTCAGTACTGCTTTCAATTGAATAAGGATTTGGGAATAAAAATCTATCAAGTTGAGTTGGTTTCACTCACCTCATTATGCTTATGCATGCTACTTTCTACCTTTCTTTCAACTCTTTAGACCGTTCTTGCCTTTGGCTGGTTAACTTATCACACGTTCCTCTCTGCAATACTAAAAGTAATGGTTGACTAATCATGGATCGATGTACACATGTCATGTCGGTGGTACCAAGGATTAATATTGAAAAGATAAGATTGTCGGCGTAAAGGTGATAAATCATGTGAACGTCATGCCCCAGTGTGCAGAAAATATACCCAATACCAAATTAATAAAAAGAAAATGGATTAGAAGTTGAAAATGCTTTAGGGCTTAATATATATGTATATATTGTCTTCCTGAAGAACATGTACTGGAGTTTGTTCACGCAAAAATTTCAGATATTTTGATTATTAGTATAATGGTTTCCCTTCATCGGACTTCAAAATTCTTCTGAGTAGTGAATGATCATGTTTTTTCTTTTTTATTCTCGTTTCTTTATAAGCACGTGTCAAATGTATTTTGTGTAGGTTTTTATTCTCATCTCTCAATAGACATGCGTCAAAATTCTTCAGGGATACTGATATTTTTTATTTCTCTTGATCACATTATCCATCTAATCACTTTCTTTTTCCTATTTTTATCTCTCTCTATTTTGTAAGAAAAATATAATAAATTTATTTTAAGAATAACATTTTTTTTAGTATTTATTGACCAAATTAGCGATTTTGACCGACTCTGTTGATCTTAATAAGTGATGCTGGGTCGATGGGAGAATGAGTTTTGTGTAAAAAAATATATTACTTGACACAACATGCCCCTCATGTTTCAAGTGATGGTGACCAGCACACTATGATATTTGATTTGCTCAATAAGATGAAGATTGGATGATAAAAAGTTTGAGAAATGTTGGTTGTCTAAGCATTGCTTAGACAAAGTGTAGTGTTGCTTCTGGCGCGTGCTAGTCTCAAGGGTCATAGGACTCATTAAGTGCTTCCTCGGTAGCTTTCAGTTGAATGACAGACACTTGTTTACTGCGATTGGATCAATAGCTAAAAAGCAGTGTAGTGGTGCACAAGTTTCTTAGTGGTTCTACCAGTCTCTACTCATATGGTGGTGGAATCCTTGTCAACAAAACTCCACAACTTTATTATTGTCAAATAAATCAGTTAAGCTAGTTTTAGTCACCTAAATTGGGTATCCTAAACACTGCATTAATCCTACTTTTCGTCATTTAGATAAACATTCAAAGTTTGCGATGCACATAAAGAGGAGTGGCCATGAACAGAGTTCGGACTTAGGACAAAATTTTGGTCTAAACCAATTAAATGTGATTGTTTTTTCAATTATGTTTAATTCAAATTAAACCAACTTCATCAATTTAAGTTTGTTCAGATTAAATCACATGAAAAATTTCAAAATTTTAATATGTTTATTTAAAAATAAAAATTGGAAACCCAGAAAATAAATTAAAATGAGAGTTCAGATTGAACTTGACTTTATTGGTTTCATTTCTTTTTCTTTTACATGACCCAACTCGATTTTTAATCTCCAATTTAGGTCGATCGAACTCACGTGTCTGTTTGAACTCATATCCATCCCTACCCTCAAAGGTTAACTACATCCGATAAAATATAACGTAAATTGTGGATGTTTAACTTGCATAGGAATACCGAAAAGACAAAAGAAAATAAATAGGAATATCGAAGTGTTGCCTGAGAAACACTAGGAATAATCTTTGACACATCTCATTACTGTTCTTCAGATATTCCAGCTGGTTTCTGGCAACTCCTTTTCATCGAGAAAACACGAAGGACTACACATTCGGATGACTTCTATTAAAATATCAATGCTAGTATTATCTATTAAAATATCAACGTCAACATTGAATATCCACATCATGTGCTATACATAGCATATTTTCATTACATTTACTCGTATGTGTCCTATTTTCACCTTTTTCCTGTTAAAGCAAGATATACTACCATATAGGAAAGTTCATTACGTACTGCATTTCTTTAACAATTAATCCGTTGGCCTAATTTTTATGACTGTGAAATAATTTAAGAAAAACCTCATAAAACCCGAATTAATATATTTTATTTTTTAAAATATATTTACTATGCACTGAATAATAATAAAAGTAAAAATAAAGGAAATTTATGCAATCCTTCGATGCTTTATTTTTATCAAAAAATAAAAAAATAAAAATTTTATATCGGACCAAGAATCCTTCTTAAACTGTTAATTGATCAAGAATCTTTCTTAAAATGCTAACTGCAACTGGGGTTGATGCGATTATAAATGAATATCCAACTTCGTTACAACGGTTTGATATTTAGTTTATTGTACCCAATATTTAAATCACAGTCTTTGTCCTTTTCCAGGACAAAAATTGAGTGGATAGTTTGTATGGAAATCCCTGTTTAATGCAGACCCCTATACGCTAAGATCCTCATCATAACACTCTGTGATGAGAATCACGTACATTTAATATTAATGTCCCAAATAAGCAAAGTGTTTTGTTTTGTAGCCAGGATGAGCTTTAACACCTTGATATAAAAATGGAAGATGTGGAAGAATATTGGCACTCACAGAGACCAAGAGCTGCAAGTTTTTCTGTGAGTCAAAGCCTCCTCAGATCAATGTATGATACCAACTGAAAATCCAGCCCAAATGAGAACATCTTCTAGTTCTAAGGAGGAAGCAGAAGCATTTCCCATATGGGATTGTGGAAGCCCTTTATATGACTCACATGAATTGGTCTCACTTGCTTATACAATCGAGAGGAATATGATGGCTTGGCCCCACTTGGGTGGACCAAAGCTTGTCACTACCCAATCATATGATCCAAAGGAGTTAAGGTCAACCCAAAGTATCCCCATAGGTTCTTCCATGGTGACCCATTTTAGTGGATTTCGGATGAAGAGCACATTGAAGAAGAAATTAACTCCAACGAGGATAAAAAATAAGCACAAGAAAATCAAAGCTACGTGTTCTGGATTTTATGTTGGATTGGTTTGGGGATGAAACATGTGTGTTGCCATTATCCTTCATCATGGGACTTTGTTCCTATCCTTTTTTGTTAATATTCAATAATATGATACCATATTCTGCGCTATAATTGAGGGTGGGACTTATTAGAGCCTAATTTCATTTTATGTTTTGCCCTTTTCTTTTGTTATTTTGATCCATATCTACCTATATATATATAAGTTGAGTTAAAATTTTTAAATGATAGTGTTTTTAAAAGTTATTTTAAACTATATTGATTTATATTAATTATGTTGGGTAGCTTTTTCTATTTGAGCATGTATTTTTTTTGCTAATATGAGCATGCATTTCTTTTTAATTCAATCTTAATTTACATTTTAAATATCTTTTAACATTAAAAAATATTCATGCATTATGCCTTTAATTGTTTATTTTCAAAGTTGTTTAAATTAATATACTGTTTTGCAAAATAGAAAATAAGGCGGATATATTGAGCTTATCAGCTGCCAATGCAACGATGGAAATTATTGAATCTTATCATGTTCCGTTTAAGGTTGAGATTTTTTCAGTGTCAATTACACGTATGTGAAATCTTCTATTTAATGGATGACCCACGTTGAGCTCAATTCCTCTTCGTGAACACAAGTGTCTATATCATGCACAACATTATGAGTTATAAATTGGCTCACGTTTTGTCCTCTTCAAAACTCTCTCTTAAGTGATGTAAGATGTGCATTAGGAGTCAAAACAAATGTTGTAAACTAGTTACCATAATTTAGTTTAGGCATCAACATGCGATTGAACCATATTTTTTGTCTCCTTTTGTGAATTTCGCACGTGGAAGCCACCATTTGAATAGTGGGTACCCATGCATTCAGTCCTCCTCGGTTAAGAAACCATGGCAATGGAGTTGGTATAAACGCACAAACCCAAACTTATTATATTCCTTTTTTCTTTTTGGGTCAACCGATTGATTACCAAAGGGCCCGAATGCCAAAGCCCAAAATATTATAATTCTTCCAATTTTTTTTAACTTATCTTAATAAACTTAGTAAAATAAAATCTTTTAAAAACTATTTAACCAAATTGCATGATTAAATTATATCATAAACTCATATATAATGGTAAATTATTGAATAAATACTCAATTAAACTATATTCGTAACACAGCTTTAGACTTGTTCTTAATATACAAAATTCGTTGACGATAGCCAAACGAAGATATCCAACCATCTAGAATACTAATACAAGACAGGACCAAGCATGGTTGTCTATAAAGTATTGAGTTAAACTACTGACATATTTCATTGAAGAAGTAACTTTTGAAATGAACACTTCAAAGTTTTAGGTAACATAAACAATCAGTTTTTGTCCACCATGTATGGTCAGCAAGAATTTGATTGGTCAACTCATTATTTCAATATTTTTGAACCAAAAATAGCGCCACTGGATGTGTGGTTGGAAGAAGATAAACAGAGCTACTGATGCATCATCTACGTACTTATTAATATTATTAAAAGAAAATTGAAGCGATCAAAATGACATGTTATATTGTTTTATTAAAAGAATAGCGTATAAATACAGATACTTAGAACAATTCCACTAATTTTCAAGGGGGACTTTGTCTCCTGCATCCTACTCTCTTCCCTCATTTTATAAAGCATATTTTAAAAGAATATTTATTGTGTTTTCATAAATTAAGTTAGGTGTGCTGAAATTAAAGTAAAAAAATATTTACAATGAAGTCAAATTTAAAGGATTTAAATTCAATATTTATTATTAATTTTTAATTAATAGATAAAGTTTATGCGATGGCAGCAATTCATTAACCAAAGTGAAAGAGCCGTGTGAGTGATAAAGGAAGGAAGATGAAAGTAGGAACCATCACTGTCCATTGGAATTGGACCCATCAATCCTATCTTCACTTTCATTTCGGATTTCGGTTGGGTTGAGTCGGGTTCACGGCTTTTGTAGACCCAACTGTGACTTTGACTAATCAGCCTCGTAACGTTTCTCTCCCTTCCACGTATTTTATGTGATTTCTCACGTCAGCGCTCTGTTTTTTATGCACTGCGTTTTTTCATTATCCGTGTAAAGTTTTTAAATTTCTTGAAAATGGAGTTTAATTGAAAAAAATATTTTTCTTTTAGTTATTCATTTTGAATTTTTAAAATTTTAATTAATATTTTTTAAAGTACTATTAATTTACTTTAATTTAATGAATATGTGATGATTTTTTCAAATTAGTAATGAAAAATATATCTACAATGTTAAAATTTACGGCTAAATATTTCCAATCAATAATATGAGTGTAAACATTATTAAAAAAATTATCTTTGTGAACAAAACATTCATAAAATAATTTTACTATTTTATTAATAAAACATAAATTATAAAATTTTAAATAAGTTATAAATTTGTGTAATCAACCATACTCTTAACGTATTTTAGGAACTTAGCATGATACACTTTGTCAGTGTAAATGTTAAAACTTAAAACTCCGAATACAAGATCTTGTTTTGATTTGGGGATTCATTAACGATTCTTAATAATATTGTTATTTTTCTTTTCATAAATATCCCCGTAGACTAATAGAATCAAAGCCCTTTGAAGATATCAAAATTCAAAAGGATGAAAACAACGGGTACCAAAAAAGTGTAAAACAAGCAAACAACAAAAAAAATGCATCATGATACGCTGACTTAGTATAAGACAGATAGATAGGTGTAAGTTTCTTTTCAGTTGAGGAAAATTCAGCTGCAGTTTTCAGATGCTGTTTATTAATTAAAATTAAAGTTTTATTTTAAGAATTTAGAGTAATATTAGATATAAATATTTGATTAGAATAAAATCCAAAATTTGATAAAGTTCACAGTATGAACAGGTCTTAAAGAAGAGCTTGTAAGTTTGGTACATTGGGGCATTCCATATCCGTAAGATTCCAAACCAATGAAAAAAGTGGCCTAGTGAGAACTGAATATTTAGCAGCGAAGAGAAGAAAACTGAGAACTGAAAACAGAGCTTCTTGCCCGTGCACTTTAATCGTTACATCACAGTTCCATTTCCATTCCGATCTACTTAGCTTAGCTTCGGTTTCGGTTTCAGTTTCTGTCCTTAAACTATTGTCCATTCTCAATGCGTAATTTACCCATCTGGTAAAAGGGAATCCTTCCAACGACGTCGTTTCACTGCGCTTTCATTACGGATTTTGGACATAATTATTTGCTTCTTTCTCCTTGTTGGCATGAGAGACAGGACCAGTACGCTACAACCTACAACCTACAACCTTGGAAAATGATCCTATGTTTCTCGTACTCTTTCTCTCTCTTAACCCCAACTCACATAACACGATAAAGTTGGGATTTTTCAGTCTTTTTGCTTTATAATTTCAGTATTCAGAGTTTAATATCGCCATAATCTAAGATTCTCAGAGGAAAATTTGTCCCCGCTGTGATTCTTAATTACCCATTCTTTGGTTCCCTTTTCTCACTTTGTCTTTGGTGTTTGGATTCTTAGAAAAATACTAAGAAAACCCAAAAGAAGAAGCAGCGGCTGCAGCGGCAAAAGAAAAAGCAACAAAGAGTTCTCTTTTCTCTCTCTCTTTTCTCTTAGCTTATTGCTTTCACTTTGAGGAAGAAAGCTTTGTTTAACGACAACTCCACCATCACCACCTTCGACCCTTCCCTTTCTAACGTTGTTGTTTCCAAGAAGCCAAGCATTCACTTTTGGGGGAATCACGCTCTTTTTTTTTTTTTTTTTTTGCTTTCCTCTTAGTATTTCTCATGTTCTTCAACGTTCCTTCTTTGCTGCTTATGGTGTTTGCTTAGTTCCCTTTCCTTCATCAATGGCCGACTCTGCCAAGGTGCGATTGGTGCGTTGCCCGAAGTGTCAAAATCTTCTTCCAGAACTTGCCGATTACTCTGTTTATCAATGTGGGGGTTGCGGTGCTGTTCTTCGAGGTACCCTTCTTCAACTTGTCACATTCGTTCTGTTTTGATTTTTCTTTTTTAATAAAATGAACACAATTTTATTCATGGTTGAAATTTTATATTTTTATTTTTTACGCTCATTATTGGCAATTAATCTTATTATGCCTTCAATCGATATATTTTATTTGCTTCTTACTTGCAGCAAAATATAATGATAAAATATTTTTAATGAAGAACGAAAAATGGACATTGGAAAGGGGTTAAGTTTTTTTTTTTTTTTTTTTTTCTGATTGTAGTTATCATTTCATTTTAATTTGCAGCGAAGCAAAAAGGGTATGTGAGTGGTAGCTTGTCAGATGAGGGGAAGGTTGGAGGAGATTCTGGCAAATCAGATAATTCATTGGAGAAAGGCATAGTTGATCCAAGTGATGGTTCAGATGTTGATGTCAAGTCCAACAGTGGCCCCTCAAGGGATAATAATCAAAGGGATATGGATAAAGCACATAACATAGATGAGAGATTTCAGAATCAGTCAGAGGATACTGATGAGAAAGGGTTACTTGAGGATGATGTTGATGTCAACAGGATTAAAGATGAGGTGGATAAAGCAAAAAGAAGAGAACAGGAGGAATCCAAGTCTCAAATTGGTCATGAGAATGGGTCCAAATTCTCTGGGAGAATTTCTAATTGGCAAAATGGCAAGAGAAGTGAGATGGAGGGGTTTTGGAGAAGGCCACGAGCTGATATGGAAAGTGTGAGATTTTCCACTTCGAATTATCCGGATGAGGGACCTTCGAATGGCTATTCTAATTTTTCTAATAACTATATGGAACCATGGAGGAATCATAAAGGAGCAGATGCTGTGAACATGGTTCAGCACCTTGAACAAGATCGAGCCGAGCTTCTAAGGAAGCTCGATGAGTTAAAAGTCCATCTCAGTAAGTCTTCTGAAATGGTTAACAACCAAAAAGATAAGCTTCTTCCTGATGAAAGGATGATTCCTCCAGATTCTCATCCTTATGGTGGCTCTGATCCTACTTGGTTTTCGGATGGGTCGTCAGGTTTGAACAGAACTTCAAGGCAATTTTTTGGTGCTGATAAACATGTGGCAGGTCCCACTCATTTCAATTATCATCATAATCCATTTGCTTATACAAGTGGTCATGACATGGCAATGCCCAACTTCCATCCTTCAATGAATAATCCTAATCGATATGGGGATCCTTTTGCATCCCAAATGCTGAGGAGAGGTCCACATCAGTTCCCGCAGCAACCATTGCATCCCTATGTTCCTGGACGGTATGTGGATACTAATCCGGATTCGTATGAACTATATGCACACAATGCAATGCTTCACCCACCCTCTTGCTCTTGTTTCCATTGCTATGATAACAAACGTAGAGGTTCAGTGCCAAGCAGATTCCATGATGCCTCAAATGATCCTATGTTATACCATCATGAAATCCCTGGGGCATTTGGTCCACATGTTCATAATTCTAGAACTGCCATTCCTCCTGTGACTTTTCGTGAAAAACAATTACATGCGAGATGGCCTAGTGACTTCAACTCTGAGATGGGTGGTTTTGTTCGAAGCCGTCCTCGGAAAGTAATGCTAACTAGCAGTAGCCAGCGTTGCCGTCCTGTAGCTGGTGGTTCACCCTTCTTTGCATGTCATAATTGCTTTGAATTACTGCAATTTCCTAAAAAAGCATTGGTTCTGTTGAAAAATCAGCAGCAGAAAGTGCGATGCGGAGCCTGTTCTTCAGAAACCAGCTTTGCTATCATCAATAATAAGCTGGTTGTTTCTCCTAATTTAGAAACGAAGGAAGTTCCTTCAAGGGGTGATGATAGCTCTAATGAGGTTGTGAGTAGCCGAGTGTCTCATTCCCGTGGCCATGTGAACAGGACTGCTAACTTCTCATCTGATGATTATTCTGGTTATGATTTTCACTCGGTAGACAGAGACCCTCTTTCACTGGGTACTTTGAATTCTAACAAGTCCCAGGAGATGGAAAGTTTCCATTCTTCATCTCTCAGTACCTCTGAAGATGAAAATAGTCCAGAAGTGATGGTTGCTCCAAGGGAGCCCACTAAGTCCATTCATCAGCCTACTACAGACTCTCTATCTCCTCCTCCTGCCGGTTCACCTCTGCAAGAGTATTTTGATTACTCCAATAATAATCATGCAGTAAACCGGTTTGGAAAAGGGAACCGAAGTAGTCGCTCAGAGCAAGAGAAGACAAAAGTGGACAAGATGTCGTCACGTCAAAATTCTTTGAAAGAGGCAGCACTGGCAACTGAGATGGATGTCCATGATTATTCTAACACTGGGGTCTCCCAGGATTCTGGAGATACAAGCCGAGAACATGATCATCCTAGATCCAACAAAGGGGGTGAATCATTTTTTGCAAACATTATCAAGAAAAGCTTCCGAGATTTCTCCCGATCTAATCATGCAGATGATCGTAGCAAAATTAATGTTACCGTAAATGGGCAGCCCATATCAGATCGTGTGATCAAGAAGGCTGAAAAGCAAGCCGGACCAATCCAGCCTGGAAATTATTGGTAAGTAAACTTTATGGTTAACTGTAACCTTCCATACCATTTATACCTGATGCAATGCTATGCTAGATTGAGATATATCAAGAGAGCTCCAATCAGTTCCTGTTGTATTTAGTGGACTCAGTTAAATTGAAGTCGTCTGTAGTATACATTCACTGACAACATAGAATTGAGTTTCATGCTTAGATTCCCTCCAAAGAATAGCATTTCTAGATTTCGTTACATCACAATTTCAAACAAATTATAAACTTTCTTCTGATTGCTTATATGGTGTCCTAACAGATTTTCCTATATACAGGTATGATTTTCGGGCTGGATTTTGGGGTGTCACTGGTGGGCCTTGTCTTGGAATAATTCCTGTAAGTTATACTAGTCTATCAGTATCACAATATGTTGGTTTTATTGTATGATTGTAGACATAGTCCAATCATATTAACTAGATTAGGCGATTCCTCTTGCAGCCTTTTATAGAAGAGTTCAATCATCCCTTGCCAGAGAAATGTTCTGGTGGGAATACAGGTGTTTTTGTAAATGGTAGGGAACTTCACCAAAAAGACTTGGATTTGCTAGCCGGAAGGGGACTTCCCACTGATACAGATAGATCTTATATCATTGAAATTTCTGGGAGAGTCTTGGATGAAGACACAGGAGAAGAGCTGGACAGCCTTGGCAAACTTGCACCAACGTAAGTGCTGTTCTGTTTCTATTCTATAGTAATTCTCCATCTCGTTTGTTTTAATGCACTTTTTTCCCTATTAGTTACTTGGAGATAATATGATTTTAGTAATTAGTTGTTACTACTTTACTAACAAACTATGTTCATCCCCTTTTACTAACAATCCACATTTTAACAGTTGCCTGTCCTTAGGCCCTAGATCAGCTAGGAGTTTGTGAATAATTTTTGTTGTGCTGTGGAAGGGAGAGAATTAAGAATAAACTGAATATTTTTCTTTTTGGTCTTCATTCTTCACTGTTTCTTTGTCAATGAATTTTATTTCATTCTACACATGAGACCATCATCTATTGAATTTTATGGCTCTTCACATTTGAATCAAACATCAGCAATATTACGACATAGTTTACTCTCACAGTTCTATGGTCCAACATTTGTTGTTTGAGGCTTAAGATTGAAGACTTAATCTATCTATACCTTCGAATTGAATTATTCTTTCTTTTTCCTTGCATATATTTGACTTCTTATACAGTTATTCATGTTTCATTAAGTTTTTATCGATCTGTAAGAGAATTCAGTTGGAATGATTTTTAAGCCTTGCTTTTTTCACTAATTAACAGAGTGGAGAAAGTGAAGCATGGATTCGGAATGAAAGTACCTAAAGCAGCTACATAATCAAAGTTTAGAAACAAACATTCTGCGACAGGTTTGAGGAGGTGAATTTTGCTCCATTTTTCTGATTCGGAAACATTAGGGACCTGATAATGGAACAAATCTGAAAATATTCGCAAGATTACTTGATATTCTTCCTTTGTATGATCAAGTTCAAGTGCTTTTGTGCATGGCTTGAATTTAGATTCACATGTAATGTGTAATTTTTTTATGTTTGTTTGTTGAAAAGGAAAAAAAAAAAAAACTGCATTATAAGCTCTGTGCTTGATACCAGGTAGTCTTGGGAAAATTTGAAGTTAGTGTGCGTAAAGTCCTGCACTAGTGTAGAATTTGATGTGTAAAATTTTATAATTTTATTCCTTGATCAGTTTGCATTAGTTATGCATTTCTAAGTGGAAATATTTTATTATGATCTGGAGCAAGATTACTGTGGATTCTTCTATCTCGTGTGCACGCATTTTGATTAGATGTAAATAAAATATGTAATTTTTTTTACTTTTGTATCTTATTATCAAGAGAGGATAAGGTATTGTTTCGGGCTATTGGGTAAAGTAATATTTCTTGCATCTCCAATTTGATTTTTAATATTAGACAATTGCAACTTTCTAGGATGTTTGACCCCGACTTTTTCTTTATTAATTGAATAAAGATCCAACTCTTATATGAAATAATTAGGCACCTCAATTTGATCCCTTAAAAATGTATCTCAATAGTTTTTTAAAACTACAAATGTAGAATACTTTAGTCTTTTTGTCTTTTTTCTATGTATTCTTAAAAAGTATGTAATAACTAGGTATTCGAAAAAATTATTGGTGATTCAAATCAATGAAGCATTTAAAATGTATTACACTTGTAATTTTGTTTCTATAATACGAGTATTAAGTCTTATAAATTTGAGGTACAGAAAAACTATGCATGTTATGTGGCGATGGAAGTATGGTTAACATTGTAACATCTAGTTGACGTTAGTGGAAACCTGAACATAAAGAACAGGTTAATAATTGAAGTTTGCATAATTTCTTGTGATGCAGAGGCACGTGCACATAAACAGATCAAGAACTTGTTCATTGTCATATTCCCCATTCCACTTTTGCATGATCATAATGTTCCTGATTATTAGTAGTCAGAATCGATTATTTAATTTTTATCGCAAAGAGAAAACAGCGGATAAATGAAAATAAGGAAACAAATCCGAGTTGACAGCGAGTGAGGGATTGAGTGGTTCAGAGAGCAAATTCCACGGAGGATTAATTGGCCAATGACCACACCAACCATTGCTGAATGAGGTATAAAACCGCCAAGGCCATGATCTGACTCGTCTAGAGAAGAATAATTTTAACAATTTTATAACATTTCTTTTAAGATTTTAAAATTAATTTTAAGCATTAAAAAATGCTTTTTTTTTTTATAAAAAAAACTATGTAATACATATTTATAAATAAATACCTCTTATTTTTAAATATTTGGAAATACAAAAATATACTACCTTAGAGCCACTGCAAGATTAGAATTAGATACACAACGGCACCAAAACGATAATTGGACGCCATGTCGTTGCATGTTCCTAGGAAAACAAAAATTAATCTCCATGTCTTTCTTTCCTTCGTTGACGTGTAATTCTTTTCTCGCGGTTCTTGTTTTATTTTACAACAGTTTTATAAGTGGAATTTTTATTTTTTAAAACGAGGTAGAAAATAACATATTTCTCGTACAGTCAAACATTGCAATATCTCCCGAAAAGGAGAAAAAAACAAATCAAAAGGGGTTGTTAGCGTAATTCAACCAGATAGAAATAACACAATAAATGGGTAGAACAAAATCCGTATCAGGATCCCCCATTTTTCTTCTTTTTTTTTCTTTTCCTTTTAATATAATGCATAAATGAGGAAGTATCAGACTCTGAGCTGGCCTTGAGCTTTCAGGTTTCGCTTTGATTTTGCAGAGCACGGCACATCAGAGCATTTGGCCCCACAATAAAGCCTTTAACCTTAATTACTGCTTCATCTAACTATGCAGATTCCCTGTTTTTTTCAGTCAGCCGACTAAACTCTTATAAAGTCATAACACTCCGAAACTTCAATCTCAAGGTGGCTTCTATGCATTGCGATTTGTGATAATTGATAATTCTGATGGTAATATTCACTATTCAGTTTGGTTCATCTTGACCCACGAAGATTTTCAGGATGTTAAAGTTATATGAAAATGTTGTGCGTATCACTCGGAAAAGGATATGTTTAAGTATTTTTATACTTCAAATATATTTTTGAAAATATATATATGAGGAATGATTTTTTGTGTAAATCAAAAAAATTTTACCTTTAATTTAAATTTTTTATTTAACTTAAATTTAACTGTCATTAAAATAATAAATTATAATCTGTTAAATTTAAATTAAATAAAAAGTTATAAATTTTAACAGATCTGCCCCTCTCTCTCTATATATATATTTATTTATTAAGATCCTTAAAGTTCATACTGGGGATGGGGAATGTTTCTAATAAGAAAGGTGATTATCCTGAAATTACATGTTTCAATAGCTTAAGAAGTGTGAAAAATGAGATAAGACCGAGAAAAGTTGAGAATAAAGCTATTCGAGTAAATGAAATCATTAATATAAACTTTATGAAGACATTCTAGACATGATCAGACAGACCACGACAAAATAAAGAAAAAGATTACGACAGAATATGATACCCAGAGTCTAGTCTCTTATGCATTCCTCATTAACTTATGTATCACATAACCTTTATTATTTTGTAAGCTGATTTTCAAATAATTTTCATCTTCATATTTTTTAAAATGTGTTTTATTATCTTTAATTAATTAATTTCAAACTTAAGTTAATTTTTTTAAAATGTAATCAAAGACATATGATAAGAAAATAAAAAATAAAAAATTATAGTATTAAATTCTACGATATCTTATTATTTTTAATAAAAATTATATATATATATATATATATATATATTCTTAATTGTGTTTGTTACATTATAAAAATTAAAATAAGTACACATCCATCATTTTACTATATAGTATTTCTATTAGAAATATTTGCTAATAAAAACAAATTTATGCTATTTTATTTTTGGCAAAAAAAAAAAAGTTTTCTTCCTACTTTATTTATCATCTTTCCATTTTTTTTTAAAGTGTTATCTTATCTATTCTCTAATTATTTCTGTTATAAACATATATGTTTTCAACAATCTCAGGATTAGCACATGTGTGAACATTATTTATTTACATTAAAGGAATAATAAAAAGTGTAAAACTAAGGTTTGTTTAAGCATCAACATTGAAAATTTGACCAGTACATACTAAGAAAACGACAATCATATAAGCATTCCTTCTAAGCAAACCCCATTGTCGTTAGGAGAGCTTTGCCTTATAGCACGGATACTGATATTGATTAATTAGTTTATTTAATTTTTTTTCCATTTCATTCAACTAGCATATTGTTGGTAAACTCTTTATTAAATTTTTACAATACACTACACCTTTATTTAGCTCATTGTGAGCCTTTGTTCTGAGGTGAAAGGTTGATATCGATTTTTGTAGTCTTTAATAAAACTGTAGAAAGTAAACATACAGAAGTGTTACACTGAAATGTTTTTACTTTTAGTATAAATTATTATTTTATTTTTTAATAAAATGTAGAAGACATTAATGGTTAACGCCAACTGTAACTACATGGACTTGTTAGCTCAGATTTTCTCTGAAAGCAAAATTTAAGATGGAAGCATTAAGCTATCACAGGTCATGGCACGTGACATTGCATAGATCCATGGAGTGAAAGTACTGCGTACTCACTCCTGAGGAAAGATTCCCAAGAATAAAATAACACACCGCGCAGGCACCGCACAACGTAAGTAAACTCTAATACATTTTCTTGGTAAAGTTAAAAAAAAAATCTAAATGAAAGAAAAAAATTTGATTTTTATCTTACAAAATATTTTTTATTTTACTTTTCGTTTAATAAAAAATAAAAAAATTATTATTTTCAATTTTAATTCAAATAAAGTATTAATGTTGAAAATTATATGAAATAAATGTTAAATTTTGTTAATTTTTAATTTTAAGATTGAATTTAAATATTTAAAAATAATGTATTTTCTTAAAAGTATTTATTGTATTAAAAAATAATATTTAATGTATTATTATTATATTTAATATGTATATATTAAAAACTTACTTCTTTTAAGTGTTTAAAATTAACATTTTTTGAATATTTTATATTTTATTTTATAAAATAATATTTATTGTAGTTTGTTAATATAAAATGATAATAATAAAATTATTAATAATTTTTTTAAAGTATTAATAAAATCAGGGTAACAGACTGTGTTAAAAGCAACTCAGAAGTTGTTGTCAGCACAAACAGCACTGAGGACAGAACAAGAGGAAGTATGGAGAACTTCAATTCTATTATTATTAAAATGTTTCTATTGACACATAATAATAATAAACACCTGAATGTTCATAGGATCGTTTGGTTTGTTCTGAGAAAGTAGCTTGTTTGTTCACACCTTTGTTCTGAGGAATCTGAAGTTGTATTTCGAAAACGTAGTCAGAGATAGTCTTGGTAATTGCTGACACGAGATGGTGAAGAAGGAGACAAGGTCTGATTTCAACCCATTGACTCTGCAAAAGCCCAACCATGTCTTCCTCAAGTTCGCTGTGTCATGTCTCTTGGTGGGTCTAGCTATTCGTCTTCTCTTCACCGATTCATTCAGCTTGTTCTCTGTGGTGCAGACACCTCCTCCTCTTCCAAACGCAGTGTTACACTCACCCCTTCTTTCTCCTCCCTCTCTCAAATCTCATTCTGTTGACTCTCCTCCAAACCACACCCAAACCTCTCCCCAAGGTAACACAAATTTTCAAACTTTCTGGTTTCTAGATTTTATGTATCAGCATCAAACTAGTGATCAGAACTTATCTAAGCGCATGGATCATGGCATTGCTTTTCTTTTATGAGCTAGAGCTAGAATAGGGTTCTTTCTTCCAATGTATTAAGAAGCCAAAATGAAACAATATAAATTAGAGATGTGAGCGACATGTGTTTATGGTAAGCTGATAATTTCCTTTGGAATATTTAGATGCAGCAAAGTGCAATCTTTTTGTGGGAGGTTGGGTGCAGGACCTATCTGGTCCAATGTACACTAACGAGAGTTGCCATGTGATTCAAGATCATCAAAATTGTATGAGTAATGGACGCCCTGATTCGGGGTACCTTAACTGGAGGTGGAACCCGAGGGGCTGTGAATTGCCAAGGTTCAGTCCAAACAAATTCCTTCACATTATGAGGGATAAATCATGGGCCTTTATTGGTGATTCCATCTCTCGCAACCATGTCCAATCACTGCTTTGCATTCTCTCACAGGTACATATACTTTCTTCTGTTGCAAATTTCACATGCTTGCCCTTTTGGTTTGTTTCAAGATAATAGCCAACTTGTTCTCTCTCGTCTTTGTTCTAAGTTAAACCTTTTTAGACCTCAAGACATTTTCTCAGTCTCTCTTTGTCATGATAATAATATTTTTTGTGTGGACTATTCTCTACTCAGCTTTGGGCACACTCTTGTTTTCTTGTTCTTCTCTGGCTGTCCAATCAGAAGAAATTAATGACATGTTTCTTTGGTTTTTTCTTTTTTGTATTTACATTAAAAGCCAAGAATTAGAAATGAGGCCTGTAGTGACATGCCGGCTGTAGTTCCTGTGATAAGGTCTAATTGCTCTGCTCAGATACTTGATTATGAAGCATTGTTACAGCTATAATAAGTAATCATTTTGTAAGAGTAGTTCAAACGAGCATTTATGAGGAATAAGGTTCAACAGCTTGCAGTGCATGTCGTGATAAGGATAGTGATATGTCCTTGTTAATTAGGATTGTGGAAAACAGCTTGGGCTTGTGTGGTTGGTGGTACTAAATGATAGTTTGGTGTCCTTTTTTGGGTAATGTGTTTGGTATCTTTTTCAAACTGGTTTACCGACCTCAATTTGGAAAATACTTGTAAAGATACCACTAGCCGGATCTTCAGCATTAGTTACTGTAAACACCAGGTCTATCAATAGCAACTTGAATATTTCTACTTAAACTGATTTTGCCATTTCAATTGCTCTTCCACGCTTTCACTTGTACATGTTATTGCATCAATTAGGGTCATTAAATTTGTGGCAGTGTAGATTGTGTATTGTTAGGCCACTGGATGAAATTATAAATGATTGTATGCTGCAGGTGGAAGCAGCTGATGAGGTGTACCATGATGAGGAATATAGATCAAAGATATGGAAGTTCCCTTCATACAACTTCACACTCTCAGTAATATGGTCCCCTTTCCTTATCAAAGCAGATGTATTTGAGGACATGAATGGAGTTTCCTCCTCCGAAATACAGCTTTATCTTGACATTCTGGACAACAAATGGACCAACCAATATAAGAATTTTGATTTTGTTGTAATAGCCGGTGGCAAATGGTTTCTCAAGACAGCAATTTACCACGAAAACAGCTCTGTAACTGGCTGCCACAACTGCCTTGGAAAGAATTTAACAGAACTAGGATACAATTATGCATACCGCAAAGCGCTGCAGCAGGTTTTTAACTTCATGACAAACTCCACGCACAAAGCGGTCGTGTTCTTCAGAACCACCACGCCAGACCATTTTGAGAATGGGGAATGGTTTAGTGGAGGGTATTGCAATAGGACAGTGCCCTTCAAAGAGGATCAGGTGAATGTGAGTTATGTAGATTCCATCATGAGAGGCATTGAAGTTGAAGAGTTTGACAAGGCTTCAGCTTCAGTTGTTGCTAACTTGAAACTTTTGGACACGACTCAACTCTCACTGTTGAGACCTGATGGACACCCAGGACCATATCGCCATTTCGACCCTTTGGCAAATTCTAAAGATCCGAAAGATTGTCTTCATTGGTGTTTGCCGGGTCCTATTGACTCCTGGAACGACATAGTTATGCAAATGTTGTCAATTTGATCATTGTTTATGTAAATTCAGGATTTGTCGCTTCTTTCTTCTTACAACTTCAATAGGGTTATTAAATACGGCCACATGAAATTAGGATTGAATAGAGTTGAAGTAAGCCAATAACATTAATATTTTACACTATATGCAACTTAAGAACATGACCATAAGGGAACATATTTTATGGTATGTGATGGCAGACACATAAATGCTGTACAACGTTAAAAGGGTCAGTAGTAAAGTTGAAGCCCATTCAGCCCGTGTCCAGTTTTCGTTACTTATATTAAAAAAAAAAAAAAAGACTCCAATCCGCCCAAAGCATATTAGCACAAAGGTCATCCCTCTTCATGTTTCATTACATTATGCGATGGGGAGGGAAAAATCTTCAACCGTTACGTGATAGGTTATGTAAAATATTTTTTTATTTATATCTCTCTTTCTCAATATTTATAAGATCTTTTTTATTCAATGTTTATTATTAAGTGAGAGATAAAAACCAAAAACAAGATTTATACATGACATTGTCATATAAAATTTGAAAACACACAAAAAATATATTCTAGTTTAAATAATAAGATTAACTAATAAGCCTAACAATTATATTAACTTCGTTTAATTGTAAATTTGTAAATTAAATATCAATATGACTACTTGTGATCTTTCAGATTGATCATAAAAGCTATGATAATGAAACAGCGGTAATAAAATATTGTAAATTGAAAATTAAAAGCTATGATGACTCGAATTTAAATCCAAAATATTGAACTGTAACTTCACGAGTGTACTCAATAATTTGTCACTCTCCCGTGTGTTGAAACTTGAAAAGCCCATTTGACTTGTCAAATCTTAAAACAACAAAATTGAACGTGAATATTATACATGCAAAGGGAAATTAATGGGTTCTGATAAATTACTTAATACAAGGTATAAACTTAATTATTTTTATCAAATTTTAGTTCTAAATTTAATTAGACCCTTTCAAAAATTTTCCATGACTTCAAATTAACTGAAATTTTTATTAAGATGTTTCAAATAAGATAACTTCAAATAAGTTGATAAATTTAAATTTATACACAAATCATTAATATTCATAAAGATTTTAAAAAATTAATTAATCATAAAAAAATTAATGAGATTTGATCGAACATTTGTTTCGACTCGATGTTCATATTATTCAAGTCAAAAACACGCCCACATCATTGAACTGTCCACAACTTGAAAAAAACGAGGGAATTGCCCAACCACTAGGCTGGAAATGGCGGTTAGTTAAAAGGTTCACATTTTATTTATAACAATTTTTTTTTTTTCAGTTTTCATAAATATAAAAACTTGTTTTCCAGCTCTTAATATATATTATACTATATTATGTTAAACTTAATCTATTTTAAGTCATGATAAATTTTATACAGTAACATATAACTATATATTCAAATAAATAATGCTATAAAATGAATATTTAAATATTGGCACAATTAAGATTTTCTCAATAATTGTTTATTTTAAAATTAAAAGCATGATTATTTGTATAAAATATAATGTATTATCTTAAAATTAAGTATAAAATTTTATATATTGTTTCAATAAATAGATCTACTATTTTAAAGGTTATGTAATAACTGAAGATTTGACTTCATAAGCCTATCTTTTTGTCTCAAATAATTTGTTTACGATAGATTATCTTTTTGAACTAAAAATATAAGGAGAACAATTTTGATATAATAATAATAATAATAATAATAATAAGTTTTGGGGCAATGAATAGTTCCAGCAAACATAATTACATTGATTAGTTGGGCAAAATTCTACCAAGGTTTCTGATGCTAACTTCTCTTACTCATCCAACGAAATTATGACCAAAATCCTCTAAATTTAAGCTTTTATGTAAGCTTTAATTTCTTCAATTATTTGGTTCCTTCCATTAATCTTTTCCTTCATTAGTTAAATTCTTCGATCACATGAAACATGATTGAAACGACTTACCTTTGCACCTAACCTTCACACATTCAAAGACACATATGAACTTACAAAAAAAACATGTTTTTTTTTCTTTGCCACACTTGTAATTATTTCGTTACAATATGTGATAAATTTTCCTTCGAAAAGTCCATTGAATGTGGACTTACCAGTGCCTTGCCTTATTTTTACCTCCAAAATAAAGTTTATGAAAACTCCACCATGCATTACTTAGCTGTAATGGAATTTCCAACACGTAATACCGTTTTTGTGAACAAAAAGTTTAATTAGTTCTTAATGAAAACAACATACCAATATTTAACCTTTTAAGTAGACTCAAGGACATAACATGAATTTTTGAAACGTAGATATATTGAAATATTAAATAAAATATAAAATAGCGATCTCCATCATATTCTGTACTAATTTAATTAATTAATATTAAATAATAAATTCAGTAAGAGTTATAATTGAGGTGGCAGGGTGTGGAAAAGCCGTCAAACTTGAATGTGGCGAGCACTGGGCAGTGTTGGAGTTTACGATGGACGAGTTGAGAGAAATTGGCGAATTCAAAGAAGACAAAAAAGAACACGTGCGTCTTTAGCTACTTTCTTCGATGCTTCTCCTTATTCTTTCAAACCCAACTACTCTAGAGCTAGAGTTCCAAAATTTTTATTTCCCCTTTTATCATCCTCAAATACTATTTATAACATTAAATTATCACTTTGATGTTTTATATATTTAATAAATAAGTGTTTTGTTAATATAAATTTAATCATAAATAAGTATATTAAAATTTTAATAGTTAATTTTTATAAATAAAATTAAAAATAATAACAATTAACATGACAGAAAAGGCCAAGCCGACATTAAATTTTCTAAAAGAAAACTTCCTTTTTCGATTGTAGTATAAATATCCGCACGCAGTCTTCGCCTTCACACGTGTTGATACTTCCATGTGACTTGCTGTACGACGCAATCAGCAGTGTTATGCATGGCAATTTCCCCAATTCCCGTTCTCTCTCCAATCAAGAGAGATTACAGTTCTTAATTTATAAAAAAGACGCAAAAGGTTTTTTTTTTATTATTATTATCAGTCACTTATAGAGAAACAATGTCTTTATTTCTTTGTCTGTCATTCTCAAAATTTAAGATGGTTTTAGTTTTTGTGTTCAGTGATATACTCTTATAAACGATAGACATAAACAAAATATTAAGATATTACGGTAGTTTTAATGTAAACAAGACAATTTACTTTTCTTTTTTTTTTTTATGATCTTAAACAACAACAGAAAAATGGAGAAGATTAGTGTTTTACTTGCTCTTCTCATGTGAATTAGGACAAGTTTTACTATTAATCAATTTTTAAGCATTTTTTGTTTATATTTTATGCATCATTGAATGTCTTAAGAATCTAAGTTAATAAATTATATATTTCTTGAAGATTTTTACATAAAAATTCTAAAAATATATTTGATATTTTTGTTTTTATTAAAAGTAGTATCTCTGATTCTTTGTTACACTCTTTGTATTTTTTTTTATTAATTAATCACTCGTTAGAGGTAAGACATAAATAAAAAACATATTAAAAAAGTTTTAATTAGACGGTAAAGTCTTTTTAACGAGGTTGTATTAATAGCATATTAAAGAATAGACTTTTGTTTTTCATTAACTATATTTTTGTCTTACATAATATTTTTAAAATATTAAAAATATACATTCTTATAAAAAAGTAAAATATATATTGTGATTTTTTGTATGTATGAATCATTTGTCTGAATTCATTTTATCTTTCTTGACGAGAATAAGGCTTGTTTGTTTCGTTTACAAAAGGACATATATATGATCACTAGAGCACACTGTAAATCATTACATAATTAGGATTTTTATAAGCACGTCTTATGTTAATGAAATGAGACGTACTTTTCTTCCTTTTTCTTCTGTACTTTCTTGTATTCTTTTAATAAGCTATGTCTTTTGTTTGCATTAATTATTTCATAACATTTTTAATATCTTAGAATGATATTTACAAGTTAACTCTGATTTAATGAAAATTTATCAAACAAGTAGTAAGTTAATTTATTTATCTAATTATATGCATATATTAAAAAGAGTTGGATTAAATAAAACCACAAGAAGAAAAATTAAATGAACTTAGCTAGTGTGAGTTTTATTTTTGAAAAAGCTTTTAGTGATACATGGCATTACTCATTTTATAGATTCTAACGCAAAACACGATTTATGATGCTAGTTTTAAAAATTGACAGTGACCGGATATCAAATCCACTAAATGTGTATTATAATGGAAAATTATTACTTATTTTCTTGGGAAACTTGACAATCCAATTATTATATGGCCACTTTTATTGTGAAGCAAAAGAAGAGTCATCGTATAAGAATCTTCTCAGCATTGGTTTGCATCATTCTTTCATCATTATAACGTGGCGGGTAGCAAACATTAGCAAGGACTAAGCCCGCAGGAGACTTTCAATTATTAAAAGGATAACAAAGTTTATATTTTTCTAACATGACCAAATACACTCCTAATTTTGTGATATTAAATTATTATATTCAAAGTTTAAATAATTTAAGTTTTCTTTTAAATTATTCATCAAAGCTTTGTTTTTTCTCAAACCAACCTTACAAAATACTAATTAATATGTTTTTATTTATAAAAAACACAATTTTAAGAGCAAAGAGAGAGACAGAGCAGCAGGACTAGACAAAAAAAAATTAATTGTGTAAATCTAATTTATAACTAATTTTAAATTAATTTCCAAAACTATATACATGTTAAATTGATTTTTTTTCTACAATAAATTTTTTAATTAAATTAATATTTTAAATCTACTTTTTAAAATTAATAGATATACTATCTCGTGTCCAAACTTATTCAAAGTTAATAATTCTAAAAAGAAATGAAATAATACATCATAGACTATTTGAAATAATATTTATGATTGGTGCATTTATAGTATAAGCAGATCTTTTTAATATACATTAATTAATTTAATACAATAATGCAATATAATAAATTAATTTTATTTTTTTTAATTATAAATTTATTGAAAATTAATTTTTTCTAAAAAGTTAATTTAAAATTATATTTAACGCAAAACATTAAATTTAAATTCAGTTTCAACCAAAGTTAAGTTTAAGTTTAAATTTAAAATTAGGACAAGGCAATGTTTATAACATTTCACTTCTTTAAAGCAAAATATTTGATAGTTGACGTTGGTAGAAGTTGTTCTATCAAATTAAGTCTGAGTAAGTGTAATTGTATTAAATATAAAATAAAAATAAAAATTAGATATTACTATTTTAATAAATAAAAAGATAAAATAAAATAGAAATAAACATTTACTTTTAATTTAAATAAGTTGAATTTAAGATATTTTAATTTAAAAGCCTTCAATATATTGAATTAGACATTGATAATTAGTGAAAAATATTAAATATTTTTTTAATGCTATTAGCTAACATTACAAACACAAGTAATTATAAATCCCTAATTAAAGGAATAAAAATAAAAATATTAAAAAATAAAATATTTATCGTGGAAAGTTTAATTGAATTTATAGGATGTTTTAGTTTAAATAATGGTCCAATACACCTATTTTCCATTTAAAAATAATTAGATATACCAATAAGTGTCCAAAAAATATTAGTTAAAAGTATTCAATACATACAGTTAAACATTGTAAACTTTTAATCACATATTTTTATGTTACTAACTTTTAGGTATAAGTGGTAAGCAGTGATTTTTAACACAAAGTTTTTTCCCTTTTTAGTATTTATAAAAGACAGTGTGTTTTAAGTGAGTTCTCAAATAAAATTAATTTTAGAGAATAATTTTTTCATTCTATCAAGTAAAATTTTAAAAAAAATTTCTGGTATAATAGAGTATTTTCATATTAATAATTATAATAATTATTATATTTTAAATATTTAAATTTTAAAATAATATGTAAAACATATTTTTATTTATTTTAAACAATTTTATTTAATAATAACATACAATGAAGAAAAATAATATAAGAATTTTCAGAATAATGGAGCACAGTGGCGTGGTGGAATTTGGACCACGTACACCGTGTGAATAGGATCTCCGTTTCAACTTAATATAATAAAGACAAATGCTGGTCACTAATTGGGAAAATAAGATATATTAATTTTTTAAAACACTTATAATATGATCCTATAAAAAATATATTGGTTTTTATTAATTACTTTTTACATCTTATGTAATAATTATTATTTTATTGAACATCTTTTATTTTCTTAATAAGTTGCATTATTTAATTCATACAAATTTAAAAAATTAAAAATAGTTGAAAACCCTAAATTTACTAGAAACTATGCATACTTTTTTCAACCTGTTCTTATATAAAAATATATAATTTTTTTTAATTTTTATGTTTAGTATTTTTTTTATTCTCTTAAAATAATAGTGATCTTTACAATTTTATAAAATAAGATCATTCTATTAATTGATATTAATATTTAGAGTTGAATTGAAGTATAAAAAATAGTATTTTTATTAAAAACTATTTATTATATTAAAAACGTAAAAAATAATATATATATATTAATAAAAATAGATTTCTTTTAATCTTTAAATTCAATTTTTAAAATTCATGTAACTACTACTATTAAAAAATGTAAAATATCTATTAAGAATTTAATTATATTTTTTAATCTTTGTACTGTTTTCTAAATTTGTCAGTTAAAAAAAATAAATAAAAAACACACATCTATATAAAATGTCAATAAGAAAAATAAATAAAAGGAATATTTTTTTATTAATATTTGTCCAACCTTAAAACCTTTTAGTATTTGTTAAAACAATAAATGGTTTTAAACATTTTGTTTTGGATACTCGTTAATATTTCTCCACTAATATTTTAAAGGGGTTATATATTGTCAATTAACAATGTCGTTCATTGAATTCATTTTTAATTATTTTGAAAACAAAAAGTGAATATTTTAAATTGTTTTTAACTACTGCTATTAAAAACTTTTTTTTTCCTATTTATTGTAAATAATTATAAATAATGTTTTATAATGCTCAATAAATATTTTACTTTCTTAATTTAATCATGTATTTCAAAAAGATAGGGTTTGAGCCTATTGCTCCCCGCAATAAGTTGACAAAATACAATATGATCATTTGAAATATTCTTAAAAAATTGTTAGCATCTTAAACATGAGATTTTCGTGTTGCTTTAGTACAAATTGATACTTCATATAATTAAATATCAATTAAACTTTAATTGTATAATCCAAAATGTTTTCTTATCACAAACGTTAGGGGTGATCATCAATATTACTATATAGGTCAACAAACAAACAAACATACATATAAGTTGGAAGCCTGCTGGAACCGATTCAGTGGACAAAAATCTTATGTTAGATATGATAATTAGATAAGAATTTAGCAAGAATATAGTGACTGTATAATATTTTTTTATTGATATTTAACTATTATTTTTTATACTTGCCTATGACTGCTATCAAAACATCATATTAGGTATTTAATTAATTTAATTCAAATTGTTAAAATTAACATAATCGATCAAAAAAATTTAGCTTAATATTAACCCAATTGTATTTTTGAATGTTTAAATTATAGACTACATATTAAACATCACGAGTTTGTGTTTTTACCGTATATTGACAACGTTATTTAAGAAGTGCATACTTTTTATTTATTTGTGACTAATAAGGAAGGAACAATATGGTTTGAACGTAATGATGTATTGTAATATTGCGTACATATTAATTAATTAAATTTTTTAAATTTTCAATTTGAAGACTTAAGATTCAAAACCATTAATTGCTCACGATGATAAATTGACAAAAGAAAAAGGGTGAACGTGTGAAGTATATTGTTAATCACGTCAGCCTTAACTAAACAATGTATTAAAATTTTGTTAATCTTTTTTAAACACGATGTTTTATTGAAAATGTTTTCTAATCCGGAAGGTTTGGGGGGAGGATGGATATAGATGGACACGTAGACCTTATAAACATGAACAGATTCAACGGTTCAATAGAGAGAGGTAGTTTATACCAAACATGTACGTACAGAGAGACATATAAAATGGTATTTAGATTGGTTGAAGTAACAGAAAACTAAATAAAAAATGATTTGGGGAGGCTTTAAGATGCATTGAGGTTGAATTAGGAAAAACACAAGACATATATAAGAAATGCCAATACGTTCTTGTCCACAATAGAAATTAGAAGGGAGGAGATGGAAAGGGGAAAAGAAAAAGTAGTGGTTCATTATGTATTGATCACATAAGGCTTACGTTAGAATTGACATCAGCACATAAATTGCAAAATTCGGCCGTACTCATCGCTTTCCTTCTAGATAAGATACATGGCCTCCCTCCATAAATACCAATTAATATGAAATATCAACTCTTCTTTCTACTTGCTCCCACCTCAGTTTCTCACCCATAATTCATCCTTCCACAACACCCCCCAACAAGACGCCAACTTAAAACAAGCACAAATTATATTTATATTTATTTAAATACTCTGCATCATAATAACCATCACAAATTTAATTATTTTAATAACAAATACATTAATTGTTCACTGAAACTCAAGCGTTGCCACTCAACACCAATTAATCATCCCATCCTCGCTCGCCCCTCTATATATATAGATTCCTCTCCTATCTTCCTTCACCTTCACAACAAACCCAAACCCAAACCCAAACAAAGAGCAACTTGGCTTAAAGATAATTCTCCATGGAAATCCAAAAAGAAGAAGCGAGAGTGGCACCAGTAATGGTCGCCATGCTGCCATCCCCAGGCATGGGACACCTAATCCCAATGATTGAGTTTGCCAAGCGAGTCGTGGGCTACCATAACCTCGAGGTCACCTTCGTCATACCCACCGACGGCCCACCCTCCAAGGCCCAAACCACCGTCCTTCAGGCCCTTCCCAAGTCCATTTCGCACACCTTCCTACCTCCGGTCTCACTCTCCGACCTCCCACCGGACTCCAAAATCGAAACCCTCATTTCCCTCACCGTTCTCCGTTCCCTCCCTTCTCTCCGCCACGCCTTCCGCTCCCTCTCGGCCACGCACACCGTGGCGGCGTTGGTCGTCGACCTCTTCGGCACCGACGCCTTCGACGTGGCCGCCGAATTCAATGCCTCTCCCTACGTCTTCTACCCTTCGACCGCCATGGCCCTCTCGGTTTTCCTCCACCTGCCTCGCCTCCACCAGGAAGTTCAGTGCGAGTACAGGGAACTCCCCGAACCGGTTAAGATCCCGGGTTGCGTTCCGGTTGAGGGGAAGGATTTACTGGACCCTGTTCAGGACCGGAAGAACGAGGCCTACAAGTGGGTTCTTCATCACGCGAAGAGATACGCTGAAGCAGAAGGGATTATAGAGAACAGCTTCCTGGAGCTGGAACCGGGTGCTGTGAAGGAGTTGCTGAAGGGTGAACCGGGGAAGCCTCCGTTTTACCCGGTGGGACCGCTGGTGAACATGGAGAGCGGTGGAAGAGGGGAAAGGGGGTCGGAGTGTTTGAGGTGGTTGGAGGAACAGCCACATGGGAGTGTGTTGTTTGTTTCATTCGGAAGCGGTGGGACCCTCTCGAGTGCTCAGCTGAATGAGTTGGCTCTTGGGTTGGAGATGAGTGAGCAACGGTTTTTGTGGGTTGTAAGGAGCCCAAATGATAAGGTTGCTAATGCCTCTTATTTCATTGCCGAGAGCCACGTGGACCCTTTCGGCTTCTTGCCTAAAGGGTTTTTGGAGAGGACAAAGGGAAGGGGCCTGGTCGTGTCTTCTTGGGCTCCACAGCCACAGGTTTTGGCCCATGGGTCCACTGGTGGGTTCTTGACCCATTGTGGTTGGAACTCTATCCTTGAAAGTGTGGTGAATGGGGTTCCCCTCGTGGCATGGCCACTATTTGCGGAGCAGAAGATGAACGCTGTTATGCTCACCCATGACATCAAAGTCGCTTTGAGACCCACTGTTGGTGATAATGGCTTGGTCCAAAGGCAAGACATTGCCAGCGTTGTCAAGTGCCTCATGGAAGGTGAGGAAGGGAAGAAACTTCGTTACCGAATGAAGGATCTCAAGGAGGCCGCTGCCAAAGCTCTTGCCCCAAACGGCTCTTCCACTAACCATATCTCCAATTTAGCTCTCAAGTGGACCAACAAGCCAAATGTAACAAATTAAACTATAAAAATTATTAGCACCACTCCACCTTTTCTTCTTCTTTTTTTAATCATAAATCTCGGATTGTTAACTTAAACTAGTACATAAGCTGGTCTATTTTATCGGGGATGACTTTACTTCCACTTTTTAGTTTTTACCATACTTTTGATAAATATATAATTAGGTAAAGTGGCAAATGTAAAAGTTGTACAAAATTGATAACGACCATGGATACTGGCCAAAAGTATGAGGGCCCCAATGAACAGAAAATTCCTAGTTCCACAATGGAGGCGAGTGACTCGCAAAAAGTAACTAGTTAGCATTAGAGACTCTGGAACGCGTCCATTTCCATTATGTCCTAACACAACCCCATACAAGTTCAATGTTTTAAATGATTGTAATGAGGAAATCGGGCTTGATTTCATGTCTTCAACCACTTTCATCGCATCATTTTTTTTGGGTGGAAACTTCTATCAAAACCTACCTAACTTCTCCATTTGTACTAATGGGAAACGTCCCACCTTTGGTTTATTCGCAAGTTCCACATTTTAGCTCTTCTTGCCCAATGCCATACCACGCCAACATAAAATACTACTCATAGCAAAAATAGGCTTCAAGGGTCAAATGTTTAATTCTAACTCGTATTTATTCGTTGTGGTAGTAATTGGTAAATGCTTTCTACCCAAAAAAGGGAGCTTCTAGCATATCTCTGATCATTCAGGATATATTGTAGTTTTCTAGCATTACAGGTGACAGAATTTGCTTTCGCTCATTCTCTTTTTTGTCTTTGGTATGACTTTCATATTCTGGTAGAGCTGCTAATGTCTCATGCGGATGGCTTTTTGCTTGGTGAGTCACCTCATATGGTGCTCTCAGCATCTTTATCTCATGCACCCTGGCCTCTATTCCACTTCAATAATATCTTTCCCTCTTTTAAAAAATGATTACCTATTATTTCCATTTTGGTAATTGGTAATTTTCGTTTCTTGGGTATTGGTACTTGGTAATTTTCATATTTTACTGTAAGAATGATATTTTTCTTCTCTTTTATTTTTATAAGAAGAATAGCATTCTTTTAAGAACAGTATAAATGAGCTTGTGCTCACAATACCCTTCTTTTAAAGGAAAAGTAAACCCAAAAGAAGAAGGGAATCTGTTAATGCTACATGCCATTAATATCCGCTTTATAGTTGTTTGGAAGGAAGTGATATTATTGGAATATTAAATTGATGTTATCACAGTATTTTACAAAAATAATGACTACTACAATAATAAACTAATTTTTCTTTCTACAGCTATAAGATAACACATATATCTAAAGTAATATTAAAAAATTTCAATCACGGTTCGTGAAAATTAAATTATAATTGAAGAAAAGGTGATACTCAATTATCAATATATCATGCTCCATCCGACCTTACCTACTCTCCTTCCAAGTGAAATTCTTGGGTGCGTTCCTTACCTACTAAATGCAATATTAAGAACCCATAATACAAATTTATACTAAGCTTCAGTAGCATATCGGTGGTTAAAAAGTAAGACCAATTATTATTCGTAGGCCTGTCGTCTTATATGATCTGTCCCTCAAATCTTATCTAATTTTTTTTTCGTTACAGAATCTTATCTAGTTTACTTCTCATACGAAAATCAATGATGATTATTAAAGTTATATATATCATAGCACAGTGTAATAAATATATTTTTTAAAAATTAGTAAGCTCAAATACTATTCATTATTAAAAAAAAAATGGCGCAAAGCATCTTTATTAAGACATTATTAACGTTGCAACGGGATTATCATGTACTAGGTTTTAAGACTTGAAAAAAGCTACATCGAATTGTTCATGTTCCCCTATATATATATATATTGTAACATCTGCACACATTGAAACTTCAATAAAATGAACCTAAAATTTTATCTCTCACTAAACTATGTTTAAATTAACAATCTAGATTGATACACTGGATAATTCCATTAGAGAATGGGTTATGCTGATTGTGTACGAAAGTTCCCCAGGTAGGGTCAGTATAGGAGTTTTGATCCGTGGGGTTGGAGGAAACTGGGTGATTGGCTATTATGGGTGCGTAGAACACATCCCAAATCTTCTGGCTGAGTCTGGACCAATCCATCATGGACTTCTAATTACCTGGCCAACTGGGTATGGTAAGGTTCTGTGTGATTCTAATTTGTCTTGCTGGTCAAATGGAGTTAGTTTTCAGTTTTTTCCCCTTTGAAATGACCTCGTATATATCAAAGGTGATTTTGTGTATAGCGCAAAACATATAAATTCGGTTTCATCACTTAATCAAACAAGCACTAAATGGTTGCCATCACTTTGATTTAGAATGGAGAGAACAGTTCCCACCAAGGTGTCAAATTTGTGGTCAACAAACACAATTATGGCCGCATTATCATGAGTTTGAAGGTTTAAGCAATTGCATCCCGATTACATCAGTCGCATCATTTTCTTTGTGTAATTTCTCTCAATATCATAATTTTGGATGTTTTTGTAACGGTGACTATAATGGCAATTTAAAACCTCAAGTTTCCAGCACTATTACCGTGATTGTTCTTGCCGAAATTCATAGCATGATGATTGGAGCTTGGGAAGTGCGTGTTCCACATGTCTTGTAAAAAACATTGTGTGTACAAGCCTTGCATGATGTTGATTTGAAAAGTATGCTTTGCTCCATCTCTAGGAATTTGAACTATGCTTTTGTCTGATTCTATGAAACTAGCTTTATTTTTTTTAGGCCATGGTTTTTCGTGTTTATCTTATGCACAGAAAAAAGTCTTTTGAGATTTATCGTTGAAGTCAAGCTAGTTAGTGATTGAAAACAAAGTAGTAAAATAAAGTTAGCTAGTAAGTGATAAATTGTCTCCTTCACACATAAAAAAGAAAGCAATTAACATCAAAACCGTCCAATGCCGCTAAATTTCATATACAGAAACCGTACTTCCTCCACATTGGGGAAATCGGCGATGCAGCGTAAACCAACACGTGCTTGCTATGTATATGTGATATGTTCGATGTCAGCGTTGGGAATTACAATAAATATCTACAAAATAATTAGGATAATTATTTGTTAAATAAATTTCAGTTTGGCTATCACTAATTATATTTTTAAAAAACTAATAGAGATATGCGTTGATATAAATAATACAGTAATAAATCATACTTATAATTTTTATTTTTATTTTTTTATAAATAATTATATATATATATATATTATTATTTTGATAATATCATAAAATGTGCGTATTGAAAATGTAAGTTGAAAAAGAATTGTCTTTTTTGAATTTAGTGTGCAGAAATTTATATTTATTTAAATTATTTTTATTATTTCAAATACTTCATGTATATGATGCTGTGTAATTAATTACTTTATTGTGTTTGAAGTTTGATTTGGATTATTTAAATAATTTATTTAGTAGATTTTATAATTATAATGTGTTCATAAAATATGAAAATAAAAATTAAAGGTACGTACTATTCATGGAAGTATAGATCCCAATATAAAATATGTATGCGATGTAAATTGGGTGACATGTAAACAAAACTAGTCCGTTCATTAAGAACCCAATGTTTATAAAATCAATGACAATCCTTTACACCCTTTGGCACAGGACAAAAACCACGTCACAATCGAGTCATACTTTTTTTTTTCTTTTTCTATATGAATCGTTTTAAACTTACATTCAACTCCAATAAGGTGGATCCGTATATTTTAGATGATATTAACTTTGTTTATATTTATTTATAATATATATATATATATAAATTAAAAATTTAATTATTTTGTCAAGAGTGTTTAATAATTTTCTTATTTTATTTCTATTGATAAATTTTTTTAGTTTTAAGATTATTTAATTACTGTAAATATTTTATTTATTATATGTGTATAGTTTTTATATAAAAATATTAATAAAAGATAATAATTAATATTATTTTAAACTTTTATATGAATAAATAAATAAAATAAAGACAATACAATATTATTATAATTATGAATAAAAAATAAGATTGAAAATATGATAAAATATATACATAAATGACAAATTATAACACTAATATCCTAACTTTTCATTTTTTAAATGAATGACTATAATTGTACTTATTTTTTTTTAAATACAATTCTTCCATTTAAAATTTTTAACTTTATTAAATATTTTAAGAAAGAACTTTATTAATCATAACAATTTTATTCACCTCAAAAGAAACTGTCTTGTAATAAAAAAAATAATTGTAAAAAAAAAATTAATATATTACTTTGATTGTAGGCAAAGGACAAAATCCAAATCACAACCATATCTTCTTTACGCGAATCGGATCCAATCACTGTGTAACTTTGAATAACTAACTCATCTTCGAATCGGGGAATTGTTGGTCTTAACGTCAGTGGCAGTGCCTTTAACCTATATTTTTGTGCCACTCGATCTTTTGCACAAGGGTTATAAATATAAAACCATTTTATTAGAAAGAAAAAAATATTTATTTTAAATAATTTATTAAAAAAAAGAAAGACACAAATGTTATTGTCTTGTAATATATTTATAAAATATATAATAGCAAATTTTTTTATAAAATATATATGCCTTTTCTTTTGTAATAGACCATCTAGTTAATGAAGATATATATTTTTTCTGATAGTTTATTATATATATTTTTTTAGAATCCTATTTATAAGTTACTTCTTGTACTATTTATTTATTTTTAAATATTCTTAATGAAAACAAAATAATTACTTTGATAGGAAGATATTACGACAAAAGGTCTTAATAATTTATATTATTAATAAACTTAATTATATTTTTAATTTCTTATAAAATAGTTAAAATTGATTTTACATTCAAATTAGAGATGGTATATACATTCAGTGGAGTTGAAACTAGGTCAGCTGTTTTGTCAGACCTCAATGAGATAGTTTACATCAAATTTAGGTGGAATAAGACGCATTTATTAAACAAATTAAGTAATAATATTTTTAAAAGTTTATTTTAACTAAAAAAACTTAGATTTTGAATTATCTAAAATATATATAATCTTAATGGACCAACCAAAATTTTTTATTGCTATTATGTAAAATAAATTTATCATATTTTTTTCTTTTTTATCTCTACATATTTTTAATTTTTTAAAATTTTAAAATTTTAATTTAATCATCTAACTTTTAAACATAATTTAAATATATTTTTTTCTATTAGCTACATTAACTCTATTATTTCTGTTGTTGACCATTATTTATCGTTTATCTGTATTTATCTTCTATTTCTTGGTGGTTGGTCGCACTTGTTGCCACTACACAGCTAAGGTAATGTGATTTTGTTCCAAACATTTCTTAACTTGAAAAATATAACTATTTGCGGCACATTAACCAACTTAATAGTGTAGGATCAAATGACCTAAAAGAGATCTTAGAAAATAGGAAATTAAAATAAAAAATCTTAGAAAATACAAGAATTTAAATCATATTTAAATCTAATAATCATACTAGATATAAAAATGTTTAAAAAATATATGACAATGATTTTAATATACAACAAAACTTATATATACTGTTTTTCAGATATTGTTCGTATTATTTAGCAATTAAAATTTATTTTAATAATAAAATATTTATATTTAATATTATTATAAATCTAAATCAAAGAGATAAAATTTTAATTTTGATTAAAAAAGAGTATTAAAAACGCCTATCTCTTACTTCTTTCATTCCTCAAATTTTTATATTTTGGAAAATTATACAATTTGATAGTAAAGATACTAGCTATACTGTTGCGACTTTCAAAAGTTTTATATTAATGTAAATGAAATTGTCACAATAATTATATAAATTATACCCACAAAATCAGTGTAGTTGTGTTATTTCAAACAAAGCAAAATTACGAAAATTTTATATTAAAATCAGCTCAATCAGTTCTTCTAAATTAAGCTTTTCTTGTACTCTTAGTTATTTTTAAAACGGCAGTTGACATGTTAACTACTTGTATATCTTAAATACGATGATAATAAGGCTGTGAAGTTGTATTTCACGTTGCTCCTATGAACATCAAAAGGATACTCAGGTTAACTTCACCAATGCAATGATTCTCTTTTTTCTTTCCTTGTTGGGTAGAGTATAGAGATTTTAACCAACTTTTCAGTAATCTAATCACCTTAGTTATGCTATACGGCACTTCAGTCAATACTAATCTGAACTTATCTATCCATTTAGATGATATATATTATTGAAGTGATG